TTTTTCTCAAATAATGCGTATTCATGTGTGTAGAAGCCGGAATATGATTTCCCAAAAAAATAGCAACAAAATATTGTTTTTGTTTACTTTAATGTTGCCTTTTATTTGGCAGTTCTATTTCTTTTTTTCTTGCTGTTGTTTTAAGGCTAAAAAAAAGGTATTGTCTTTAGAACGCACACATACAAACATATATATTTCAACAAAAAAGTCTGTGTTTGTTTAAAAAATAAGTTTTTTGCTACACATGTATGGCTGTGTGTAAAAAAAGAACGTGTTTGTATTTTTAAAGGATATTGGTTTCTATTGACTTTAATAACAGGCATGATCATGATGATGCTGATGATGCCTGTCAATGCTGATGATTCTATATAGCCGGTTGATACTGCTGCTTCGTTGGTTGATGATGACAATGATTGTTATCTGTTTTTAATATTTCTCCTGTTTAGTAACAACATCACATAGTTTGAAAATTTTATTGTGCGGAAGTAACCGTATTAGTGTTTGTATTTTTATTATTATTTTTATATATTTTATTTTAACATTGTTTTCCCCTCTCTCTCCCTTCTCCCCTGCTTTATTTGCTTTTTTTAGATATTTTGTTTCTTATTCTGTTTCTTTTGATTAAATTAAATTTGCTTAACGTTAAGGAAAATATTAATATGCCAAAATCTACAAAAACAAAACAAGATATTGTTTTTCATCTTTTTCTGTTTAGAACATATGGGTATGAATAAAATATATATTCATGTGTTAAGAGTCAAGCATATGGAAAATTTAATTGGTGTAAAAACATTGATAATGTATTTTATTTATTATATTTTCTATACAGTTTTTTTTTTTGAGGGAACAGATTGTTAGAGTTTTTTCCTTTTAAGGTTTGAAGTCAAGTGTATGGTGATTAAAGTCTAGAAAATGGTTTTTATCAAAAGATTTTTATAATGATACATTAAATTATATTTTATATCCTTTTTAGTTAATTCTAGGAAATTTGTTTTTTAAATAATGGAATGAGTGAGATTTGTATAATTTATATCGAGATTGAAAACTTCTGTGCTATTGAACGTTTTTGGAAACTTTAAAAACTGCATTATAGCTTTTGTTTAATAGTCCGTATAATAGTCAATAGATTAGTGTGTGGCAGTTCAAAAACGAATTAGTCCACAATTGGACTGGGCCATCGTCTAGTGCATAAAATTTGTTTAGTTTCTACACTAGTCTATGGACCACTTAGTTATGGGCTAATCTATAGACTATTCCATGAACCAGTCTATTGACCGGTCCATGACACTGTTATATGAACTGTTTACTACTTAGTCTATAGACTTATCTACGGATTAGCCTATTGACAGGAATATGAACTAGTTTAATGACCAGTCAATGGATTACAATTTGGAAATGTCCATTGACTAATCCATAGAATATTCTTGAGACTGTCGCCTATCTAATTTCCCAGTTTATGGAAAAGTCGACTTGGCTACGAAGTAGTCTGTTGACTATTCTATGGATTAGTCTGTTGATTAATGTATCTACTACTCCACTGTCTAGTCTATGGCTTTGTCTCTGGACTAGTCTTTAAACTCGTACCAATATGGCCTATTGATTAGTTTTTTTTACTAGTCTCTTATGGACTACTCTATAGACATTTCTGATGACTAGTCTACGTCATGGGTTATATATATATTGGTCTGTATACAGACTATACATACAGTCTAGACGACAATTGCAAGTAAATTATATATTCTATTGACTTGTCTATGGACAATCCTATGGGCTAGTTTATGGAATGGTCAATAGAGAACTTGTCTATGGACGTATTAATTAACAGATCCAGGGACTAGAATAATCTTTACGATAGGCTATAAATAAACATATGGAGTAATATATTGACCAGTTTATAAACAAATAGTCTATGAATGAGTCTATTGATATGCCTATGGACTAATAGGATAACTGGTCTAGCTTATTGACTAATATAGGTACTATCTTATTAACTAATATATGGAAAAGCCTATGGAGTAATATATGGACTAGTCTATTGACTTGATTACTTACTAATCCATGGAATAATACTACCACGATTACATGAACTATTACTAGTCTATAGATAGGTCTATGGATAAGTCTATTGACTTGAATATGAAACAGTCAATGTACTACGCTTTGGTTATGTCTATTGACTTATTCATGGAATAGTCAGGCGACTGTCGACTGCCTACATACATGCCTAGCCTATGGATAAGTATACTTGTCTACCAACTAGTGTAATGTCTAGATTGGTCTGTTAATGAATCTATCTACTAGTTCTCTATCTATTTTATGCCCTTATTTCTTGACTAGTCTAGCATAGTTATTGACTAGTAGTATATAACTATTGGACTAGTCTATGGAATAGTTTATTGATTTCATTAAAGCCTATTGACTTGTTTTTTGACTAGTCTCAGACTTTTCTGATGACTATTTAGACTTTTCTGATGACTATTCTATGCCCTGTTGTATTTACTAGTCTGTAGACTAGTATAGACGACTATATAATTTGTCAATGACGTCTATGGACTAGTCTATGAAACAGTCTATAGATTATTCTATTGACTAGTAAACAGATTAGTGCAGTCTATTGACAGTCTATGGACTAGTCTATAATCGCTTCTAATGACTCTTTTAATAGTCTATGGACAAGTTTATGAAATAGTCTATAGATTATTCTATTGACTAGTAAACAGATTAATGTAGTCTATTGACAGTCTATGGACTAGTCTATAATCGCTTCTATTGACTTTTTTAATAACAGATCCAGGGACTAGCCTATACACTATTAGACTAGTGTATAGACAAGTGGTTTATGAATGAGTCTATTGACATCTCTATGGACTTATCGGTTGACTGGTTTAGCTTATTGACTATTGTAGGGCCTATTGACTAGTCTATGGAAAAGTCTATGTTATAAGCCTATGAAGAAATCTCTATGGATAAAACTTGTCTACGGACAAGTGTATGTATTACTTTATTGAATAGTTTATGAACTAGCCTATGTACGTTTCTATAGACTAGTCTTTGCACTAGTCTATTGGTTTTTCTATGTACTAATATTTCGACTAGACTATAAACTAGTCTATTAACTGATATATGGGCCAGTCTATGTACTATTCTATGGACTATACTGTGGGCTACTCCATGAACTAATCTAGGGCTAGTTTAGGGAATATTATAGTATTTAGTTTAGTGGACTAGTCCAGTCTTATTTCAAGTGTAGGGTCTAGCATAGTACGATGTTTGATACAGAAGTATATTAAAAGACATTTAGATATATTAAAACACATTTTAACCTTATTATGTCGAAGTCTTGTTATATTCAAGACTCTCTCCTCAAGACATAGTACTCGAGGCCATTAATTTAAGTCTAGCATTTTGAAGGCGACCAATGTTATGGTAGAAAATTTCCCAGACAGTAATCGTTCCAGTATGTGAATGATCAGTGTAAACTAAGTTCATAACGCATTGAAGGACACTGTAGCTAGTCCTTCTACTTGTAGTTGTATAATTCGTATACTTTTCATTGTTTAAAAAGCTTATACAATATTTGAATATTTAAAAAAAATCATATGTATAAGTATATTTTATTTAATTAAGTATAATCCTATCAAAAAATATTTAATATATAAATTCCTCTGAAATTAGTTAACCATAAAAAAAACTTCATATTTAACTTTAATTAATTTTCAGAAAAATAGCTACAAGCATATTAAAAAATAATTACAGTTTAATTAAGAATTTCATTAGAAAGCAGCAAACGCCTTTGTATTAGTTTGTTATTTAATAAAGCGTAAAATTAGTTTAATGTTTTTTATTACATAAAAGAAAAGTTTAATTATACATAAAAATGAAATCAAAAAGAATCTATTTATTGAATTTAGGTGTTAAAATTATGTGACATATAGTTATTAAATTGGAAGGACATTTTATTTAATTATAGATTTCATAAAGCAGCGAAACATAAATATAAGAAAAATATACTAATTTAAATATATGCATGTATTGCATATGAATGAGTATTTAAATGGGTTTAAGGGTGTCCCTTTTGAAAGAGATATTTTGTGTAGAATGTTGAGAGAAATATTAAAGGAAAAGTTTTTATTTAAAACGAAGATTTCCTTATATGAGTTCTTTGTTAGTTTTTTTTAGCTCACCCTATGAAAACTGACCATTTATATTATTAACATTTGTTTTAATAAAAACCAACTGAAAAAAGGTGTAACAAAAATGTTTTTTTACTCACACACACATATAAAACTTATCAAATTATGGGAGTTTTAAGCAGGTGTGTTAATTTTTTAAACACATGTGATTTTTGTAGATAAACCCAGCAGTTCTGGAGAAAGTTCCAGGAAAAACTCTATTGACACCTTCGGGATAGACTGATAACTCTCTTACATTATTGTCAATGTCTAATCTTCACAATTGACAATTAAAGTTACCATGTATAAAGAAAGTTAAAAGTGACTTTTCAACAGATTACTAAAAGACTAAAAGGTGACTATTAACTACCCTCTAAATTACTTGGGGATCATAAAGTGGTTCTTCTTTGTATGACAATGAGCGTATATTTGTTAAACTATGTAAACTCTATAACTACGTAGCAAACATATAGTTATATGTAGCGGTACTCCTTCTTTAATCCTTTTGGGATCTAAACACAAATACATATGTATGTATAAATGCTGTTCTCATTTTTTGTTTCGTTTTGTTGTTATTTTTTTATGTCTTGTTTTGTTAAGGTAATAAAATCTATAAAATTTAATTATATATTTACATGATTTTAAGCAATTTACATAAATTTCTGCATACATTATTACACTCATTAATTAATAAAGTTAAAGAAAACAAAAATAATAACAACAAACAGAAAACATTTCTATATTAAATCTATAAACATAAGTTTTATTTTCATAAAATTCCAACATTTCATTATTTAACCTTTACCTTTAATTTCTCCTAAATTCCAGCGTATTTCAGAGCGTGCATTGGATGGTTTGAATAATTTAAAAACTTTAAATTTACGCAATAATCTATTGAAAAAAATCGATAATGGTTTGCTGCGCGGAACACCGGCCCTACTCTCACTCAATGTGCAAATGAATAAATTAGAAACATTGACATTTTATACCTTTCAGCCAATTATGGATAATTTGGTCAATAGTAGTAGTGAACTATTGGTAAATGGTAAGTTTATAAAAAAAAATTTATTAACCTTATTTGCATAATTTACTTTTTTCCTAGATATAAAGCTCTTTACTTAACTCTCATTAGTTAGATTTTTATAAACTTAAAGCAAAATTTAAGAACTTTAAACAACTTTTAGTGTATTTGTCCTTGTACATAATAAATAACACAATGTGTCAATAGCTATTTAAATATTCTGTTATAATTAGTAAAATTGTGAAAAAAAAAAAGAACGGAAAAAATAGGTTATCATTGAATAAAATGTCAATATACTTATTTTGAAATAAATACAATTTATACGATTTATCATGCAAGAAGGACATGGCATGTGCAAAATTAAAAATATTCAAAGTATTTAGTTTTAAATAAACTGTGATTGAAAGAGAACTGTGGGAAAATTTAGCAAAACAAAAAATCTATAAAAATAAAATTTCTCAAAAATTTCATAAAAAGAAACTTTTTTAAAAAATTTCTATAAAAAGAAAATTTTTAGAAAATTTTCTACAAAACGAAAAAGGCATATTTAAATAAAGAAATATAATTCTTATGAAAGAAGTCTATATAGAGAAATTTTAAATTTTTTTTCTTATAAAATTTTTCAAAAAATTTCTATAAAAAAAGAATTTTCTCGAAAATTTTCTATAAAAATAGAATTTTTTTTGGAAATTTTTCTATAAAAAGAGTATTTTCATGAAAATTTTCTATAAAAAGAGAATTTTATTAAAAATTTTCTATAAAAAGAGAATTTTATTGAAAATTTTCTATAAAAAGAGAATTTTCTTGAAAATTTTCTATAAAAAGAGAATTTTCTGGAAAATTTTCTATGAAAAAAGAATTTTCTCGAAAAGAAAATTTTCAATAAAAAGAGAATTTTCTCGAAAAGAAAATTTTCTATAAAAAGAGAATTTTTTTTGAAATGAACATTTTCTATAAAAAGAGTATTTTTTGGAAATTTTTCTATAAAAAGAGAATTTCCCTGAAAATTTTCTATAAAAAGAAAAATTAAAAAATTTCTACAAAAAGAAAATTTTCTCGAAAAATTTCTAAGAAAAAGAGAATTTTCCCAAAAAATTTCTAAAAATTTTCTCAAAAAAATCCTAAAAAAAAGAGAATTTTCTCAAAAAATTTCTAAAAAAAGAGAATTTTCTCAAAAAATTTCTAAAAAAAAAGAATTTTCTCAAAAAATTTCTAAAAAAAAAAAAAATGTTCTCAAAAAATTTCTAAAAAAGAGAATTTTCTTGAAAATTTTCTATGAAAAGAGAATTTTCACGAAAATTTTCTACAAAAACTGAATTTTATCTATAATTTTCTATAAAAAGATAATTTTCTCCAAAAGTTTTCTATAAAAAGATAATTTTCTGAAAAATTTACTATAAAAAGATAATTTTCGCGAAAATTTTCTATAAAAAGAGAATTTTCTCGAAAAATTTTTCTGTGAAAAGAGAATTTTCTCGAAAATTTTCTATAAAAAAGAATTTTCTGGAAAAGTTTCAATAATTAAAGAATTTTCTCGAAAATTTTCAATAAAAAAGAATTTTCTCGAAAATTTTCTATAAAGAAAAGAATTTTCTCGAGAGTTTTCTATAGAAAGAGAATTTTCTCGAAAAATTTTTTCAAAAATATAAATTTTCGAAAAATTTTCTATGATAGAATATTTTAAATCGGAGAATTTGTAAATAATTTATGAATGTAAAGAAAATTTATTCTTATATTTTCTCATTATTATCCCACTGTCCATTTTGGTACTTGGTATAAAAGTTGTAAATATTTTTTTTTACTTTTATCTCTAGCAACTGGTGTTGTCTATATAATAGTGACTTGCATTCTTAATGAACATTTGCAAACATGTCTCTTTTTCTCTCTCTCTGTCTCACCATCTAGATGTTGTTGTTTTGGTTTATTATCCCGTCCAGCTAAACTAAATATTAAAATCTTTTCATGCTGTTACACACATTCACATAAAGCCATGTAAACATCCAACTGTTTTAGCTTTCACCGGAAGTGAAGAAAATTTTTTTGTAGTTGTTATTTTTGTTGGTACTCTGTTTATAATTTAACATGTACAACAAGTAAAATGTTTTGTCATTAAAGATAATTTAGATAGTCATAGTTCAAATGTACATTTCCGGTATTTTCTTTACACTCTTTTTTTTTTTCATTCTGTGCAAAGTTATGGAAATTAGCACTTGTTTAAGCAAATATAACTAAATGTACTAAATATATAATGCTTAATATACTTAAATGGTGTTGTTATACATGAATTTGTTAAGAAATTACTCATTAGAAAATATTTATGGTTGTGTTGAAGTGATTTATATAAATATTTTTACATAATTGTTATTGCAACTAAAACAAAACAGACTTAATTATTGAATAACACCAAGGAATTTTCATAAAAAATATTGTATTAAATTTTAATTATTCTTCATAAAAAATCTATATATTTATAAAAAAAAAATAAAATCCTATATTAATGGTGTCATGTTTATTAAAATAATTACAGGCCATTATAATTGTTGACTGTCATTGTATAACTTACAATAGTTAGTGTGAACGTCCAGAAACACAAAAAAAAAAAATAATTTATTACAAGTTTTTTTCTTTAATTGTTTTACTTACTTATTTATAATGAAAATTATAGAAAAAACTTAGTTGGAATTAGAGGGAGCAGCAAAGGAAGCAAAAACAAAAAAGAAAAAACTAAATATGTTTTGGATATATAGCGGATGTATAACATAAACGGTGAGGTAAATGGTCATTAAAATGAAACACATTAAAAATAGATAATCACCTGTGTAATTAGAGTCCCCAAAGTATAGAGAGTTATTATCTAAAGTACATGTGCTGCAATATGGGTTCACTGGGTGTAATAAAATATAAATAACAGGAACTAGAAAAAAATAAGAGAAAGAAAAAAATTTAAAAGAATTTAACAAGAATAGTTATATAAATTTGTAAAGATTAGAAGAAGTTTACTTAATTATTAAAATTATTTTATAAAATATGTATGTACATATTTTTTAAAATTTTCTATAAAAGGAGGCAAGTGGCAATTATGTATTAAAAGAATTTTTTTCAAAAATTATATATAAAAAGAGATATTGTGACGAAAGTTCATTTTAAATAGAGAATTTTTTCGAAAATGTTCTATAAAAAAAGAATTGTCTCAAAAATTTTCTATAAAAAAGAGAATTTTCTTGAAAATTTTCTATAACAAGCGAATTTCTCGAACATTTTTTAAGAAATGAAAAGAAATAAATAAAATTAGAATTTTCTCGAAAATTTTCTATAAAAATTTAAATTTTCTCAAAACTTGTCTCTAAAAAGAGAATTTTCTCGAAAGTTTTCTATAAAAATAAATTCTTGAAAATATTTTTTAAGAATAGCATTTGCTGGAAAATTTTCTATAAAAAACAGAATTTTCTATAAAAAAGAGAATTTTCTCGAAAATTTTATAAAAAAAGATAATTTTCCCGAAAATTTTATAAAAAAAGATAATTTTCTCGAAAATTTTCTATAAAAAAGAGAATTTTCTCGAAAATTTTCTATAAAAAAGAGAATTTTCTCGAAATTTTTTTATAAATAAGAGAATTTTCACGGAAATTTTCTATAAAAAAGAGAATTTTCACGGAAATTTTCTATAAAAAAGAGAAGTTTCACGAAAATTTTCTATAAAAAAGAGATTTTTTACAAAAATTTTCTATAAAAAGAGAATTTTCACAAAAATTTTCTATAAAAAAAGAACTTTCACAAAAATTTTCTATAAAGAGAGAATTTTCACAAAAATTTTCTATAAAAAGAGAATTTTCCTGAAAATTTTCTATAAAAAAGAGAATTTTCCTGAAAATTTTCTATAAAAAAGAGAATTTTCCCGAAAATTTTCAATAAAAAGAGAATTTTCTCGAAAATTTTATATAAAAAGAGAATTTTCTCCAAAAATTTTCTATAAAAAAGAGAATTTTCTCGAAAACTTTCTAAGAAAAAGAGAATTTTCACCAAGATTTTCTAAAAAAACATAATTTTTTCGAAAATTTCCAATTAAAACAGAATTTTTTCGAAAATTTCCTATAAAAACAGAATTTTTTCGAAAATTTCCTATAAAAACAGAATTTTCTCGAAAATTTTCTATAAAAAACAGAATTTTTTCGAAATTTTTCTATAAAAAAGAGAATTTTCTCGAAAATTTTCTATAAAAAAGAGAATTTTCTCGAAAATTTTCTATAAAAAAGAGAATTTTCTCGAAAATTTTTTATAAAAACATAATTTTTTCGAAAATTTCCTATAAAAACAGATTTTTTTGAAATTTTTTTTTATTAAAATAGCATTTTCTCGAAATTGTTTAAATATTTCCTATAATAAGATAATTTTCTGGAAAATTTTCTATAAAAAGTGAATTTTCTCTAAAAAAAATTTCGTCGAAAGTTTTCTCTATGAATATATTTTTCTCGAAATTTTTTCCTAAAAAGAAAATTTTTCTCAATAATTTTCAAAAAAGAGAGAATTTTCTTGAAAACTAACTATTAAAAAAATGTTCGCAAAATGACTAAAAAATAAAATACATATTTTTTATTAAGGCCACGGTGCGTATACTTATTATCGAACTATTGATAATAATCATACGGTACTGTGTATATAAATTATTTTTTTTAAACATTAAGAAAATCAAGTAAATTAATATAATTACAAATTGTTTAAATTGACTTCACGTAAAATTTCCTATTTTAATAGGATTTAGTACTGAACACAAAACTGTACTTAAACTTCATTTTTAATATTACTAAAAATATCAAATATCTTTTATTATAACAACACTTAAACACATACATACATATATTCTAAAATTTTAATTAAAAATCAAATTACAAGATATAAAATTTCAAAAACATACCAAAAAACACTGTGACACATACAGCAATAGACCATGTCTTCTACTAAAATTTTTAATATAAAAAAACTAAAATAAAAAAGGATTTTACTATTCCCGCAGCAATTTACGATAA